TTCAAGCTCACCAGTTGCTCCTTGGAAACCCTATACAGGGTCTTTATTGGTCGGAACCAATTCGATGGCACTTGACAGCAACCATTTTTGTGGGATGCAATTCAATCCCTAACAGTTCACCCTTTGGCCCTTTCCTGCCTCAATTTACATGCAAAACACATTTACTCTATCATTGTTACTGTTGTTAAGTGCCGTTGAGTCAGTTCCGACCCAGCGTGACCCTGTATAGGGTTTCTGAGGAGCAGCTGGTGAGCTTGAACCGCCGACCTTGCAGTTCAAACGGCTTTGCAGTCCGATACATTTAACCTACAGCGCCACATCAGGACTCCATTATACCATCCCCCAAATCTTAAATCAGCTTTGAGTCCAAAATCTCATCTTCTGAATCTTGTGAATCAAATATGGGTGAGACTGTAGACGTAGTACATAGTTCATCCTGGGACAAAATTCCTCGTCATCTGTGAACCTGTGGAATCTAGCATATGAGTCATCTGCTTCCAAAGTAAAATGGTGGAACAGCCTCAAGGTAGACATTTCCATTACAATTGGATAAATTGAAGGAAAAGAAGGGATAATCAGCATCAAGCAAGTCCCAAACCCAGCAGAACAAATTACATTCATTCTCAAGGCTTGAAAGAATCCTCTGTTTTCTAGGACCATCTGAGACATGGCCACATCCTCCAGACTCTAGGTGCTAGATATGTTTTCTGGTTTTTGGATGGAGGGCCCTCAGCCTGGGTTTCAGCTCTGCCTTCCAGGCCAACTGGGATGGCATTTCTGCTCCCTTTGGGTGCCCCTATTCTCCTAGTCCAGCTGAGCGGTGGTCCCACTTCCTATGCCTGCATTGGACTCTACTCTGCTGCCCCTTGGGTTTGGGTAGTGACCCAATCCTCTTGGCGTATCTGGCTGAACACATTTCAGCCCCACATTCCAGAACTGAGTTGGTGGATATCTGATTCTGAAACCTAAAAGGTCATGTCTCTACCCTTTGAGACCCAGGAGACCTCGGCTTTGCTCTTTGAAACCATGCTTCCCATACTCCTTCCAACAAGTCTGCTGAACTCTGAACTGCTTTTCTTGGAAGACAACACATGTAGCGCCTTTGTTCTGTTTCCTGCCTGGAGAATTCCAAGAGGCTGGCAGCTCTCCTTCCTTTCATTTTGTCTCTGTCCCCTTCAATCTAAGCTGATGGGTTTTATGCCATGGTAGTTGGTTGGATCCATCAATCATAGGCTTAATCTTTATAGCACAAAATTTTGTAGCCATGTCCCTGGTGAAATTTCTAGGACACATCCTTAGCTTGGTCAACAGAATTTCCCCAGTTTTTAAGTTCTGTTTTCATTTTGTACCATTCCATTTGAATCCATCTTTTCCTCTTTACATGTTACTAAGCAAGCAAGGCGAAATCACGAGGCTCTTTAAGATCCTGCTTAGAAATCTCCTCAGCCAGATATCTAAGTTCATCAAGTTCTATTTTCCACCAAACATTTGAACCTGATTCAGACAAGTTCATTGCTACTGCATAAAAAGTATCACCCTTTCTCCATTGTCTAATTATATGTTCATCATTTCCTTTTAAAGTCTTACCAAAAACAATTTCATGTTCCCATGTCTTACGACATTGTGTTGTTGGTATGTATTTTCTAAGACAATAGAGACTTGTTCTATCACGCTCTTCATTTCTTTTTGTGCCCAGGCATTGCGTTGACATCTGTACGTCTACCACAGGTCTCTTCAGGGCAATCTGTATTTTACTACTGTTGTTATTAAGTGCTATTGAGTCACCTCTGACTCATAGCAACTCATATAGGGGTTCTGAGGAGCAGCTGGCAGGTACTTGCAATTAGTAGTCCAGTGCTTATCCTACAGCACCATACTAGGATTCTGCTATTAGGCACCGTACAGTCCTTCCTCCTTCTAGCCATTACCCAATTTCAAAACAACTTCCACATAGTAGGTACTTGTTAAATCAGCTAACAACCCTACTCTCAGGTACCAGGGTTGGCAGTTCAAACTCACCAGCCGTTCCCTGGAAACTCTGTACAGGGTTGCTGTGAGTTGGAACCGACTCAGCAGCACTTAATGACAACTAGCCATTATCCAATTTAAAAATCACTTCCATGTTGTAGGTGTTTGTGGGAGGAGAACTCAGTTCTGGTTTAATTACCTAGTGTTGCTTTAACAGAATACTGCAAGTGGATGTCTCTAACAGACTTTATTTTCTTATCGTTTAGGAGGCTAGAGGTTTGAATTCAGGGTGCTTGATCTAGGGGAATGTTCTCAGCTGGCTCTGGGGTCCTCATCTCTCTTCAGCGTCTTGTAGCCTGGTCTCGATCATTGCCCGTCTCTGCTTACCTATTGAATCTACTCTTTTAGATCTCAAGAGATTGATTTAAAATACACCCTACACTATTGTTGTTGTTAAGACTGTCGAGTCAAACCAATCTTGCAGTTGAGTGCTTATCGTACAGCGCCACACCAGCATTATTATGGCATCACAAAGGACATCCATGGTCCCCAAAGGGATTATATCCACAGATATAAGGGTCAGGATGTACAACACATACCTTTGAGGGGTGTAGCTCAATCCATAACACCTCTAAATAGTTTGTGGTTCCTCAAAAAAAAAAAACCCAAAAAACTGGGGGCATCTACAAAACCACAGGGCCATTATCAAGTTTAGAACATGTAGTATTGATACGATTCCCTGATCTCCAGTCCTTATTAGGAGTCCTGTGTAGTGCTGTAGTATACACACTGCACTGCTAACCACAGTTGCTCCGTGGAAACCCTATAGAGAGTCACTGTGAGTCAAAACTGACTTAACAGCACTTAGCAATAAGTCCTTATTAAATTTTCAACAACTGTCTCAATATTTTCCTTTATAATATTTCTTCCCTCCTCCAGGATCCAATCTAGGATCTCGCATCCGGTGAAGGCGTGTCATTAGAAAGCATCCCTTAAATGTTAGCAATTACTAAAACAACATGTGGTTGTTGTGTGTTTTGGAGTTGGTTCTGATTCGTTGTTGTGTACTGCCAAGTTGGGTTCAACTCATAGCGAATCTGCACAGGGTTTTCAAGGCTGTAACTTTTTACAGGAGTTAAAAGCCTCATCTTCTCCTGCAAAGTGGCTGACCGATTTGAACTACTGACCTTGTGGTTAGCAGCCCAGCTTGTTATCCATAAAAGAGATCATTGAGAGAAGTTGTTGTTGTTGTTGTCATGTGCCATGGAGTCGGTTTCGACTCATAGCGACCCTGTACAGGGTTTCCGAGGCTGTAAATCTTTATGGGAGCAGAAAGCCTCATATTTCTCCCGCGGAGCAGCTGGTAGTTTCGAACTGCTGACCTTGCGGTTTGCAGCCCGATTCGTAACCACTACGCTACCAGAGCTCCTTCATTGAGAAAAGGGTGGGTTTAAAAAGAAATTTTACCTGAGGTGCACATATAGTCCACCCTCTAGTGGTCACTTTGCACACTTCACCTGAGCAGCCTTGAGAGTCCGCCAGACTCAGGTTCAAATCCCAGCTCCTCTCAGTAACTGTGTGGCCTTGGGTAAGCAATGCCCTTCCTATGCCTCATTTTCTCCATTTAAAAATGGTCCCTATCTCTTGGAGCAGTTAGGGGTGCTCCCTTAAAGATTTAAAGCCTCAGGAACCCTTTACAGTGGGGGTGGGGAGTCTTTTTTTCTGCCAAGGGCCATTTGGATATTTACTTAACATCATTCATGGACCACATAAAATGATCAACTTAAAAACTAGCCTGCTATATTTGGTCAAACATGTAATTAACTCACCCCCAACATGATGGCTAGAACTTTGGTTGCTTTGGCAGAGCCAGACCAAATCATTTTGCGGGCCTTATATGGGCTGTGGGTCGGATTGTGCTGAGTGAAATTAGTCAATCACAAAATAATAAATATTGTATGAGACCACCTCTGCTATACAGAATCACTATGAGTTAGAACCAACTCAATGGCACTTAACAACAACAATAATAGCATAGGTCTTGGCTTGTTAAATTGTGGGCGGGAAGCATGGGTATTGTGCTATAGGGTAGGCATTGGACTGCCAAGCACAAGGTCAGCAGTTCAAACCTACCAGCTGTCCCTTGGTAAACCTATACAAGGTCACTATGAGTTGGAACCAACTTGACGGCGCTTAATAACAACATATTTTCATAAGGGACTCTACTGGTGTAGTGGTTAAGCATTTGACTACTCATGGAAGAGATCAGCAGTTCAAACCCACCAGCTGCTCTGCAAGAGGGAAGACCTAGCGATCTATAAAGACGGCAGCCTAGGAAACCCTAGGGGCAGGTCTAATTTGTTCAATAGGATCTCTATGAGTTGGAATCAACCCAATGGCACACACAGCAATCTTTTCATAAGAGGGGGAAATGTGGGTTCTACCAAACCTCTCACAACATGGATGAACCTGGGGACATTGTGCTGAGTGAAATTAGTCAATCGCAAAAGAACAGATATTGCATAAGACCACTGTTGTGAAAAGTTAAGAAAAGGCTTTATTAATAAAAAAGAAACATCCTATGATGGTTACCAAGCCTGGGAGCGAAGGGAAAATTATTCATAACCTAGAGGGTAGACACATGTGAAAATGGGTGACAAGGCAGGCAATAGACAAGAGAGAGGTTAGCAGAGGAAAGATGAAGGTAACGGGAGACACGGAGAAATGCAAGAGTTAAATAGAGGTAAATGCTGTTAATTGATGGTACATGGAAGGGATTGCAATCATTATAATGAAACCAAGTGTATGATTCGTTGAATGTAAAACAGATGCTCTGCTCTGGAAACCTTCACTCCATTCACAATGAACAGTTTTTTTAAAAAGGATAAAGTTCCAAGAATTATGTGGGACATCACCAAAGGGAACAATTTATACGTAATTGGAATCCCAGAACAGGACAAGGCCAAAAACAAAGCAAAACAAAGTAAGGGTGGGGTGAGTGGGTCCAGTGACCAACACTTCCTGTCCTCCAGGATGATGAGGTGGTCCTGCAGTGCAGTGCCACGGTGCTCAAGGAGCAGCTGAAACTATGCCTGGCCGCGGAGGGCTTCGGTAACCGCCTCTGCTTCTTGGAGCCCACCAGCAATGCCCAGGTCTGTGTCTGGGGAAGAAGGGGTGAATCTGAAGGTGGGGAAAGTCTTGGGTCCAAAGAAAAGGGGGTGCTGACTGGAAAGGAAATGGGTTGGGGGCTCAGAGGGAAAAGGGGCTGGTCAGGGGTCTAAGGAGGGAGGGTCAGGGACTGTAATGAGCTAAACAGGTGGAGATTTAAGGGGGCAGAAAGCCTTGGGACTAAGGAGGAGATGGTCTGGGAGTCTGTGGACAGGGGCCTTGGGTGTAGGGGCCGGGGTCTCAGAAGGGAGGGGCAGGAGGCCTTGGGTCCAAAGGGGAGTGGACCTGTATCTTAGAGGGGAGAGGACAGATTGAGAGAGGTAAGTCTTAGAGAGTTAAGACTCTGAAGGAAAGGTGACCCCAGGGTCTGAGGCTGGGGATTCTAAGGGTGCAGGGCAGCTGGAGGATTGGAAAAGGAGGGGCCTGAGGGGGCAGAGGGCCTTGGATTCCAGATGAAGAGACAGAAGGTCAGAAGGGTGACAGGAGTGTGAGAGAGAACAGAGCCAGAGGGTGTGGTGGACTCAGGGTGTGAGACCGGACACCTGGGGGAATGGGGCAGGAGGGAGAGAGAGAGAGAGAGAGAGAGAGAGAGAGGGGATTGGAGTCTGATGGGGGTGGGGACCTGCGATACTGAGTAGGGATCTGGGGGTCCAAACGGAAGGGTGTTAGGAGTCTGAGGGAGAAAGTAGGAACCTGGACTGTCTGATGTTGAAGGCATGAAGTGGGGTTCAAGAGAGTGGAAGTTCTCTCAAGGGGGAAGGCACAGAGCAGGAGCTTGCAGTAGATTCAGGCAAATACAGTGTGTGATGAGGGAGGTGGAGGATTGGGGTCTTCTGTGAGGTTAGGGTGGGGTTCAGAGTACTTTAGTTGGGAGGGGAGGGTAAAGGTATCTATGATGATGTTTGGGTGAGGTTTAAATGTTTGAAAAGGAACACTGGTGATGCGGTGGTTAAGCACTCATCTGCCCCCTAGCCATTTTGTGTAGGAAAAAGATGTGGCCGTCTGTTTTCCTAAAGACTAGACTTGAAAACCTTCTGGGGGCAGTTCTACCCTGTTCCCCCCCCCAGGGCTGCTGTGATTTGGAATTGGCTCGAAGGCAGTAGGCTTAGGGCCTTGAGGGTGGCGGTAGGAAGATGTTTTCTATGGCTACAGTGTGTCTGGAAGGGGTAGCAGAGGGTAGAGGCTTGTGGTGTTGGAAAGGAGTCTGGGTATCTATGGGGCATGGGGATTCAGACCAGGCCTCACATCTCCCCCTCACCCCATCTAGAATGTGCCCCCTGATCTGGCCATCTGTTGCTTTGTTCTGGAGCAGTCTTTATCTGTCCGTGCGTTGCAGGAGATGTTAGCCAACACCGTGGAGGCTGGTGTGGAGGTGAGCGCCCCACCCTGAGTGGGCATGAGGCATGGGTGGGCTGGAGGACTGGGGTTGTTTATCATCTGCTCTTCTTCATCTCTCCACCCCACCCCACAGGCCCTCAATTTGGATAAGTGGGTAGGTCTGGCCTTGGCTGTCACTTGTCCTTCCCATTCCTCCTGATGTCAGGCTCACCTCTGGGCTCACATTCCTGCACACAGGGGCTGGGGGTCTTTCCACCCCAGTTGTCAGGGGCTGTGGAGCCCAGAACAGGCCAGGCAGGCAAAAAGGAAGGAAGGTGGAGGGGTCTTCTGAGCCCCCATTCTCCCTCCTTCTCACCTCCTTTCTCCTCTTTCCCTGCCTTTCCCCAACTCTTGTCCCAGCATGGGACCTTTCCCTTTACCTCCTCCCATCCAAGTGTGGGTGCTCCCCTCAGGAGTGAGCCTGCCATGTGATCAGATGTTACTGTCACATGGCACTCTTGGAGCATGGGCATGTGAGAACTGGGTGGGGCATGATACCATCAAGCTACGGGGTGGACCTCCCTGCCCTTCGGAGGGTCCCGGTCTCCTTGCTCTCGGTCACTTGATGACCAAGAGTGACGATCAGACATTTAACCACTGGCAGACTATGCCGGACCACACCAGCTGCAGCTTAGCTGTTGTTGACAAGTCAGAATAGAGAGGGCCATGGAACACTGGCGTCTGAGTTTTTCCTGAGTGTCTCCAGGTACCCCAGGGATGAGGTCTGCCTTTGTGCTGAGTGGCTTTGGACCTGGCCAAAGGAGGAAGCAGGGAGGACAGAGTGGGCTCCAAGGAATATAAAACAACCCTTTCTACAGGCTCCTCAGAGACACAGACTCTGCTTTCCTGAAGGGGGAAACAGAGGCAGAGACTCTATTGAGGGTCTAAACTCAGGCAATTTTTTCCCCTCCAGACCTGAAAATGGTATTTATTGAGAGTAAGAAACAACCACTTGGGAATGGACCATGGTTTGGGGGATCTGTGTTTACTGTGTCCCTCCCTCCTCCCCCAGTCTTCCCAGGGTGGGGGACACAGGACGCTCCTGTATGGTCATGCCATCCTGCTCCGCCATGCCCACAGCCGCATGGTGAGTGCAGGGGTGTATGGGAGTGGGGAGGGAGGTAGGAGAGGAGGGACTGGGATGACAGGGCCTGCCAGGAGAATGACTCTCCTCTACAACCCCAGTATCTGAGCTGCCTCACCACCTCCCGCTCCATGACGGACAAACTGGCCTTTGACGTAGGATTGCAGGAGGATGCAACAGGTGCAGGGCTGGGGGGGTGGGACGGAGGACGCAGGAATGAGGGCCTTTGTGGGGGGTGGATGGGGCATTTTGGGATGAGAGACTCTGGCAAGCATGGGAGAATTGTGGGCCAAGTGTCTGAGGGCAGAAATGGGGACATTTGAGGCTCAGGGGTGGGAATGTCCTGGGGGATCTGTCATCCTGAAAGCCCCTCCCGTCTTCCTCTGCATCTCCCCTTCTCCACAGGAGAGGCCTGCTGGTGGACAATGCATCCAGCCTCCAAGCAGAGATCAGAAGGAGAGAAGGTTCGAGTGGGAGACGACCTCATCCTTGTCAGTGTCTCCTCCGAGCGCTACCTGGTGAGCCATCTCGCCCTCTCATCAAGCTGACTGTGCCTGGGACGAGGGGGACCTTAGCATTAGTTTGCCTGATTGGTCTCTGAACCCCAGCATCTTGACTGCTGAGTACCAGATTCCTGACCTTTGACATCCTGTCTTTGGATGTCTGACCTCCCATTTCCTTACTCGACTTTGATTTTCTGGCCTATCACTTTTGGGTCTCCCATCTGTGGGTCTCCTGGCATCTGCTCCCAATCTTTGATCTCTGACTCTGGGACTCTCGTCCACCCATCCCCACCAACTCTGACCACCACCTCCTGATTGCCCCCAGCACCTGTCAACCGCCAGCGGCGAGCTCCAGGCTGATGCTTCCTTCATGCAGACCCTGTGGAACATGAACCCTATCTGCTCTTGCTGCGAAGAGGGTGAGGGGCCCAAACTTTAGACCCCCTAAACTGAGACCCCAAAAGCAGACCCCCAACACTGTCAACCTAGACATGTCCAAACTGAGACTTGAAAACTTAGACCACAAACCTAGAAATCCAAATTATGATTCTCACACTTAGATCTTTGAGTGTAACCCCAAATCCAGAAGCCTGAGTTTAAGACCCCCAAACCCAGAACTCAGTATTAGAGTCCCAAACTCAGACTTCAAAGGATTAGTCCCCAAATATCCTATGCCAGTCTCAGAGCCTTAAGGTAACATCCTAAACTCAGATCTCAAAGTCTAGAAAACTAGATTCAGAGCTTATTCCTCAGACCTAACCCTCAAACAATAAGCCCAAAGCACAATCTTAGACCCCCAAATTCAAACTTCAGGCACCCAAACCAAGACCCGAATCCAGATTCCAAACCTCAGATCATTTACCTCAGATCTCCAGCCCAAAATCTCAGTCTTTAAAAATCAAATGCTCAAAATCAAATCCCCAAATGCTAATTCCATATCAAGACTCCAAAGTATAACCCCAAAATCTAGATCCTAACTCTTACACCCCAAGTTTCGGATGCCCCCCGCAAAACAGCCCAACCTTAGCCTCAAGAACCACAGGTCACAAAACTTAGACCTTAACCTCAGAGTTTGAAACTCAGACCTCCCATTTCCAAACCATAAGATTTAGATTTCTCCAAACTCATACTCCAACTCAAAGTCAGATACCAGCCTAAGGCTCCCCACAAATTTAATACTCACACTCTAACTTCAGACCCCAACTCAAACCCAACCATTACACCTCCCAACCCAGACCTCAAACCTTAAGCCTTAAAAGTCAGACCCCAATGTCAAAAACATTAGACCTCTGAGCATGTAATCTGAACCCTAACCTCAGAAGTCCAAATTAAGAGCCTCAATGAAACCCAGACCTGTTGGTTTTAGCTGCCACTCTTGGCCACCCAACAAAGTATTACCTGACCCTCTACCAACTTTGAGCTCATTGTTGCCACCATTGTTGAGTACTTTCTAACCTAGGGCGTTCAGCTGCCAGCACTATCCAGGACAATGTGTTGTTGTGATCTATAACATTTCCACTGTCTACAATGTTATTGTCTCGTCTTAGTCTGGAAGCTCTACTGAAAGCTGTCCACCATGGATGATCCTGCTGGCCTTTGAAATACCAGCAGCATAGCTTCTAGCATTTCAACAGCACACAAGTCACCACAGTGCGACACACCAATAAATGGGTGATGAAAACCCAGTCCACAACACCCCCAACCTTAGCCCTGCAAACCCAGACTCCCAAATTTAGGCACCCAACCTTAGATACCAAATCTCATACCCCCATTTTAGGCATCTCATTTAACTTTAAATCTCAGACTACCACTTTGTACTCTGAAATTCAGACACCCTCCCATGTACAGATCCCCAAATTATAACCCATCGCCTCAAACATCAGTACTCTGCCCCCAGCCTCCAATATTGGGAGAAGCAGAGCCCCCAGACTCCAACTCTGCCCCTGGGTCTTTCTGGGGCTCCAACCTCCCAATGACTACCTTCCCTTCCTCCTTTCCAGGTTACGTGACTGGTGGCCACGTTCTCCGCCTCTTTCATGGCCATATGGATGAATGTCTGACCATTTCCCCTTCTGACAGTGAAGACCAGCGCAGGTCTGGGCTGGGGACAGGGGACCTAGGTCTGCGGTGGCAGGGGACAAAGGTTGACTGAGGAGCAAGCCCTATGGATGGGCTAGAGAATCAGATTCTGGGGTGTGAGCATCTGAAGTTAATGTCCAGTGGGGGAACTTATTCTTTCCTGTATTTCTAGACTTGTCCACTATGAAGGGGGAGCTGTGTGCACCCATGCCCGCTCCCTCTGGAGATTGGAGCCATTGAGAATCAGGTAGGGGACAGGTGCAGTGGTCAGGGGGGCCTGGAGGGCCTGGGAAGGAGAAAGGGTCTTGACGGAAGATTGGAAGAAGAGATTGGAGGATTTTGAGAGAAAACCTAGGAAGTCCAAGACAGAGGTGAAGGCCCTCAGGGATTATGGAGTCTGGAGACCAAAGGAGGTCTTGGGGATCCCTAAGAGAGAGGTCAGAGGGTCTAGAATGAAAGTGTGGGAAGTTTCGGAGGAGAAAATGGAGAGTCTGGAAAAACTCGAGACATTTGGGTAGCCCTGAGGAAATCTTTGGGGGACAGAGAATTAGGTTTACTAAGGGTGGAGGCCCAGAGGAATGTTAGGGTCACCCTGGAAGAGGATTGGAGGCTTGGGGAGGTTTGGACCGACACTTTAGTGTCCAAGGGAGGATTGAGGTCCTCTGCATTTTCTCACTCTCATTATCTGCAGCTGGAGTGGAAGCCATCTGCGCTGGGGTCAGCCTCTTCGCATCCGCCATGTTACCACAGGACGGTACCTGGGGCTCACCGAGGACCAGGGCCTGGTGGTAGTCGACGCTGCCAAGGCCCACACCAAGGCCACCTCTTTCTGCTTTCGCATCTCCAAGGTCAGTGGGGTTCAGTGTGCCCTCCCTCACCTGGAGCCCCAAATCCCATCCTAGCCCCACTATAGTCCCTCAGTAGGATTTTGAGAAAGTTGACCTTTACCCATTTACCCCCATAGGAAAAACTGGATGTGGCTCCCAAGCGGGACGTGGAGGGCATGGGCCCCCCTGAGATCAAGTATGGGGAGTCACTATGCTTCGTGCAGCATGTGGCCTCGGGCCTGTGGCTCACATATGCAGCCCCGGACCCCAAGGCCTTGCGGCTTGGTGTGCTCAAAAGGAAGGTGAGTGGTTTCCAGAGAGGAGAGGTGGGGGTACAGGTGAGGGCAAGGAAGGGGCTGAGAGGTGGGCATGCTTCAGCCTTCAGGGGGTTGAGGACAGGGACAGAGAGATAGACAGATACAGGAAGAAAGAAAGAGGGACCTAGAGAGACAGATAAATACTGACAGAGAAAGTCAGGGAGACATAGTGGTGGTGGTTGTGTGCCGTGAAATCGGTTCTGACTCATAGCGACCCTGTACAGGGTTTCTGAGGCTGTAAATCTTTACGGGAGCAGACAGCCTCATCTTTCTCCCGCGGAACAGCTGGTAGTGTCGAACCGCGGACTTTGCAGTTCGCAGCCTGACTCATAACCATTATGTTACCAGAGCTCCTAGGGACAGAAATATAAAGGCTGAGATAAAGACAGAGATGGATAGAACCCAACAGACTGAAAATTACATTCCATAGTGATCCTGTGCCCAAGTGGTCATGGGTGTGTGAGGAAGAAAAAGAAATGAGTTACATATACCTGTTCCCTGCTCTCTTAGTGCTCAGATATGGTAACTGAAATGCCCTTTTAAAAATAAATGATCCCCCCAAAACAAAAACAAAAACCCCCAGAGGGAATGGAAGCAAATACTGTTGAATGATCATGCATGGAGGAGATTATAGTCATTGCGATGAAACCATGATGTAAAGCCAATGTTCTCCCATGTAAACTATCACTTAGTTCACAATAAAAACTTAAAAAAAAAAGCAAATGGTTTTCAACTTGAGGAGTTGGAAAGCTACTTTGACAGAGAGGATAGCAGCTGTACAAAGGTCGTGAGGTTGGAATGAATTTGACTTATTGCAACAACAGAAAGATGAGCAGTTTGGTTGGAGCAGGACTAGTGAGGGGCAAGTGGTTGGAGGTTTTGGAGGCAGACAGTAAGAGGGAGCCATGGCAGAGTTTTGAGCCGGAGAGGCATGGAGGGGAACAAGAGGCTTCAGTGTGTCCCAGGTAGGAGACAACAGTGGACATGACCAGTGGAGGCTGTGGAGTGGGGAGAAGGTGGCAGAGTCTAGCTGTATTTTGAGAGCAGGACCAATGGATTTTCTGACAGATTCAATTTCAAGGTGAGCGGGAGGAGGGATTACAGATGATGCCAGGGGTTTAGCCCTGAACAAACAGAAGGAGGGAGATGTTGGGAGCAGTCACATGTCAGCTCAGGAGAACAGGGATCTTAAGATTTACCCCTGGTGCTTAGAATAAGGCCATTCGTAAAGATTTGTTGGTGAATGATCCGGGAGCCTGGAAAGGCATCTGAACTGGGGATGCAGAGATGAGGCTTGGAGCTAGAGGGAGGAATGTGGGAATTGTCAGTACATGGATGGTGTTTTAGTTACCTTGTTGTTAAGTGCTGTGGAGTTGATTCTGACTCATAGCAACCCTGTATAGGTGTTCCAAGGAGCTGCTGGTGAATTTGAACCGCCAACCTTGCTATTTAAACCGATCTTGCGGTTTGGTGTTTATCCTACAGCGCCACACCAGGGCTCCATAGATAGATCTGTTGTTGTTGTTGTTGTTACGTGCCGTGGGGTCGGTTCCGACTCATAGTGACCCTGTACAGGGTTTCCGAGGCTGTAAATCTTTACAGAAGCAGAACGCCTCATCTTTCTCCTGGTAGTTTCGAACTGCCGACCTTAAGGTTAACAGCCCTATTCATAACCACTACGCTACCAAAACTCCTTATAGATCTAGATATACATCAATCATGATAAGCAATGTATAATGAGTATTAAACACAATTCAGTGTGGCACTGTAAGAGAATTAGGGGCAAAAAAGACAAAGGGACAGCTTGGGAGAGAAAAGCAGGGAGAGAGGGAATGAGAGACACAGAAACAGAAAAAGAGGAATAGAAATGGAGAAAGTGACTGGCAAGAGTCCAGAGTTGGCTAGAGTCTGGGTGGAGGTCTAAGAGGTGTGAACCTGGGTGGCTGGGCCCATCCTGATCTCTCTGTCCCCCTCCCCACTGCCAGGCCATGCTGCACCAGGAAGGTCACATGGACGATGCGCTGTCGCTGACTCGCTGTCAGCAGGAGGAGTCCCAGGCAGCCCGAATGATTTACAGCACTTCTGGCCTGTATAACCTCTTCATCAAGTAAGCGCTACCACCAGGGGGCAGGCGACACCTTGATCCCCAGACTCTGGGCTTCCATGCACCTGTGTGTGCCCTTTCTTCTGTACCTAGTCCGTACCTCTTAACTCCTGAGTTTTATACACAGGACGCCTACTCTGACTGGACGCCCGTGCCGGATTAGGAGTCCTTTGGGCCCAGAGTCTTGTTCACCACCTAACTTTCACATCTCTGATATTCAGATGTTTGTTTCCAGGACCTTCCCAGCTCTGAACCCCCTGTACTTACACAGGAGCTCTGCGCTTGGCGTTTCTGTGGGGTCCTGCGGGGAAGGGGGCTCGCGGAATGCTGTGTTCCCGAGCCACCGACTGAGAACTAAGTACTCCCCGCAGGGGCCTGGACAGCTTCAGCGGGAAGCCACGGGGAGCGGGGACCCCGGCCGGTACAGCGTTGCCTATTGAGGGCGTTATCCTGAGCCTGCAGGACCTCATAGGCTACTTTGAGCCGCCCTCCGAGGAGCTGCAGCACGAGGAGAAGCAGTCCAAGCTGCGCAGTCTGCGTAACCGCCAAAGCCTCTTTCAGGAGGAGGTGGGGCCCTCGCCGAGGGAGGCGTGGTCTGTGGGCGCAGGGGCGGAGCCTTGGAAGGGGCAGGACTGAGGCGCAGGGTGGGGCGCAGTGGCCATCTAAGAGGGGAGCTGGGCGAGTAAAGGAGTGCAGGTGGGGGTAGGCCCAGTGTGAACACGGAGCAAGGAGCACAGAGTGGAGGGTGGAGTATTGGGAGGGGGGCAGTATAGGTGAAGAAGGCGGGGCTTCATTTATGGAGGGACCTTGTGGGAGGAGCAGAGGTTATGGTGCAGCCTGGGTGGTATCTGGAACAGTCAGATGGAATCGGGAAAACAAGGCTGGGAGGAAGGGGTTGGACCTGTGTGGGGTGGGGCTGTGAAGGCCAAGGCCAAGTCCAGACTAGTAGCTCTGAGGCTTGGTGGGGGAGTAGGCAGAGGTGGGGTGCTGCAGAACTCAGAGAGTGGCCTGGGTGTTTCTTTATATTTGATGTTAGATCATATGTGTATGTATGAACTTTTCTGTATCTATTATAATTCACACTGACAGAAGATAAAAGATTAAATTATTTAAAAAGGAAAGGAAAGAAAAAGAAATAAAGCAGAAAAAAGTCCTCTGATTGTTGGTGCAGAGAGTGGACTGGATCATATGGAACCAGAAATGGGAACTCTCACTGCTTGGAAGAGGGAAAACATCAGAAGCGCCAATTCAGCGTTGATGTTAGAAAGGATGCGGTTGCGTTGTGATAGGGGATAGAAGCAGGGTGGACAAGGACTGATTTCAGGAGTCGGGAAAGAGTGATGGGATTGGATGAGGACGTGGAGCTCAGTGACTGGTTAGACCCAGGAACACACAAGTGTGAATATGAGTTGGTAAACCCAAAGAGACTTGTCCTCTTTTCCTCACCCCAGGGGATGCTCTCCTTGGTGCTGAATTGCATTGACCGCCTAAATGTCTATAGCACTGCTGCTCACTTTGCCGAATTTGCAGGAGAGGAAGCTGCTGAGTCTTGGAAAGAGATTGTGAACCTTCTCTATGAACTGTTGGGTAAGAGTCCCCAGTCAGGACGCAACTGAGAGCACCCCAGATACCCAGGCCTGTTGGGTCTGATCCCCCTCTCCATCCTCAGCCTCTCTGATCCGTGGCAACCGCACCAATTGTGCCCTCTTCTCTACCAACTTGGACTGGCTGGTTAGCAAGCTGGACCGGCTGGAGGCCTCGTCTGGTAGGAGAGCCCAGGGGAACTGGGACAGGGGGACTCAGGGGAGGGAGGGTCACAGTCAGCTCACCGCTCACCTTAAAATGTGCTCAGGGATCCTGGAGGTGTTGTACTGTGTCCTGATCGAGAGTCCTGAGGTCCTGAACATCATCCAGGAGAATCATATCAAGTCTATCATCTCCCTCTTGGACAAGCATGGGAGGAACCACAAGGTTGGTCCCCCTCAGCCCTGACCTCTCCTCATGGATCCAGCATTCCCCTCATTCCCTCCTTCAGCTCATCTCGAACCTGGACTCCTCTCCCAAGTACTCCCATCTCAACCCAAGGGTCTCAAACTCATGGTCCTTGAATTGACCTAGGGCCACTGATGTACTTTGTTAGGTCTTTGAAAGTGTTTTTAAAAAATGTATGTTCTACATATTTTTATGTAGGTCCAGCCAGTTCCTCATTACTTCTGATCTCTTATTGTATCACCCTAGTCTTTCTTTTCTTACATCACTGATGCCTTTGTTATTGTTGTTGTTAGGTGCCATTGAGTCGGTACAGACTCATAGCGACCCTATGCACAACAGAACAAAACACTGCCCGGTCCTGGGCCAATCTCACAATCAATGCTACATTTGAGTCCATTGATGCTGCCATTGTGCCAATCCATCTCGTGGGGGGTCTTCCTCTTTTTCTCTGACTCTCCACTTTACCAAACATGGTATCCTTCTCCAGTGACTGCTCCCTCCTGACAATATGTCAGAAATATGAAAGATGAAGATGAAGTCTGGCCAACCTGGCCTCCAAGGAGCACTCTGGCTGCACTTCTTTCAACACAGACCTGTTGGTTCTTTTGGCAGCCCATGGCACTTTCAATATTCTCCTCCAACACCATAACTCAAAAGCATCAATTCTTCTACAGTTTTCCTTATTTACTACCCAACTTTTGCATACCTATGAGGTTATTGAAAATGCCATGGTTGTGTCAGGCGCACCTTAGTCCTCAAACTGACACCTTTGCTCTTCAATACTTTAAAGAGGTCTTGTGCAGCAGATTTGCCCAATGCAATACATCGTTTGATTTCTTGATGCCTTATCCCAGTCCATATAACCCCTCAGCCTCTCACCTGACCTTTTGCTGTGATCCAGAAGCTTCCACCTCTACTACCTCTTCTCAGTCCCAAGTCTCCACATCCTGTTCTGACATCATTCTTTCTTCTGACTTCTCACCCAGGTCCTCCCATACATCCCTGCCCTTGCACCCTCACACTCTTACCTCTGGCCTTACCTTCCAGGTCCTGGATGTGCTATGTTCCCTGTGTGTGTGCAATGGTGTGGCCGTGCGTTCCAACCAAGATCTCATTACTGAGAACTTGTTACCGGGCCGAGAACTTCTGCTGCAGACAAGCCTCATCAACTATGTTACCAGGTCTGGCTCCTGGCCCCTAACCCCAACCCCAGGTTAACTGAGAGAGCTTGCCAATCCTCTTCCTGACTCAGACTTTACACCTAGGTGGCTGTCCTTCCATTGTCTCCCACTCTAGGTCTTAATACCCCATCCTCACAGAAGCCCACTCCTGGTCCAATTTATCTCTGGCTCCCTACTCATTGTCTTTCTCCTCCTTTCCTCTCTCCTGGACTCAATCTCCACCCATTTCTATTTCTGTTTCTGTATTTTTTATTTTTTTGACTTTGTCTGTTTCTCTCTCTCCATTTATTTTTCTTTGCCTATTTCTACTTGTCTGTCTCTTTCTCCCGATCTCTCTTTTCTATCTGTCCTTTAGTCTCTCTGTCTTTCTCTAGATGTGCTTTTTCATTGCCTTTGCCACCCTCTCTGTCTCCATGTCTGTCTCCAGGTCTGTCTTTCTGTTGGTTTGTATGTTTTTTTTTCCTGCATGACCTTCTCTGTCTCTCTTCCTCCCCATCCCACCAATCTAACTCTCCACTACATCTCTCCCTCATTCCCCTGTCTTGTGCCTGTTTTACCTGCAGCATCCGCCCCAACATCTTTGTGGGCCGAGCAGAGGGTTCTACACAATATGGCAAATGGTACTTTGAAGTGATGGTGGATGAAGTGGTCCCATTTCTGACAGCTCAGCCCACCCACCTCCGGGTGGGCTGGGCCCTCACTGAAGGCTACAGCCCCTACCCGGGGGGAGGCGAGGGCTGGGGTGGCAACGGAGTTGGCGATGACCTCTATTCTTACGGCTTTGATGGACTACATCTATGGACAGGTACCTGGACTCTGGTTTCTGATCTGTGACCCACAAATTCTAGAGGACCCTCATCCATGAACATTGATCCCAGAGTCTTTAAGACTTACACTGAACCTGTGGGCTTCTCAGGATCCTGACCCCTAAAAAAGGCTAATTTTTTTACTTCTTTCTCCTCATTTCCCAAGACCCTAACCCTAGAACTTCCAGAATCTTGCTCTGGCCTGTTTCCTTGTGGCTTCCAGAATTCTGATCTAAGAGGAGATATAACCTTGAGCTTAGGAATCCCTGAAACTGACCCCGACTCTGTCTTCTAACCCCACAGATTCCAGAATCCTAACTCCAGGGGGACTTTAATCTCTGACCCACAGTTTTTAGGATCCTAATCTCAGGGGAATCCTGAATTCTGTCCTTAATCTCAAAGCTATGGATTCTCAACCGAACTTGGGGTTTCTGAGGCCTGGTCCCCATAGGATCCTTCAATATTTGCCCCTTGTCACTTGAGGTCGTTGGTTCCATGAGACTTCTGACCTCTGACCCCTCCCTGGTGACCCTGGTGCAGGACACGTGGCACGTCCAGTGACTTCCCCAGGACAGCACCTCCTGGCCCCTGAAGATGTGGTCAGCTGCTGCCTGGACCTCAGCGTACCATCCATCTCCTTCCGCATCAATGGCTGTCCTGTGCAGGGCGTCTTTGAGGCCTTCAACCTCGATGGGCTCTTCTTCCCTGTTGTCAGCTTCTCAGCCGGTGTCAAGTGAGGACTTGCCTCTGCCCTATTGCTAACCCAGACTCCTGGGACTGATCTGAGACAGCTTCCTAATCATTCCATGTCCCTCAGGACTGCCTGCTGGCAACCCAGTGGTAGATCCAATGATCTCCACATAATCCCAGACTCTTCCAATGACCAGATACTCCCTATACCTGTGTCCTTCTAGTGACTTCCATTTGGAAGGTTAATGTGAAGTTCATACCAAGCTGCTCCTTGGAAACCCTATACAGGGTTGCTATGAGTTTGAACCAACTCGACAGCACTTAACAATAACAACAATAAAATAGGGTTTCTAAGGAGCAGCTAGCTGATGGGTGTGAAGCAGTCCAGTTTGAAGTAGTCCTACAGCGCCACACCAGGACACAAACAAGAAGGTTGTCGATAAGTGAAATCAAGTTGAGTCCATTCTGACTCATATCAACCCTGTATAGGGCTTCCAGGGAGCAACTAGTGAGTGTGAACCGCTGACCTTGTGTTTCAAACTTCACATTGACCTTCCAATGACCTCAGACTTTCCCAGTAACCTTCCCATTAATCCAGATTCTTCCAATGACTCCATGCTATTCTAATGACCTCTAAATCACTCCCAAATCTGGCAATGATCTTATAATAACCCTAGACCCTCCCAGAGATTTCAACATTTTCCATACTCTCCCGGTCTTCAATGATCTTAGACTCCTGTAATGACTCCATGCTTTCCCATAACCTCTCAATCACCCCAGCATCTCCCAGTGACCATGCTAATGACCCCAGTTATTTTAATAAGCTCTCAGTGACCCAGTCATTTCCCAATGACCTTAAGCTCTCTGGCTGGCTTGTTAATCACCGTTCAATGACAATTACGGTTAGATAGAAGTAGACTGCTGGTGTGGAGTTGTAGGATCAGCACTGGACTGTGAACCACAAGGTCAGCGGTTCAAACACACCAGCTGCAACTTGGAAACTCTGTACAGAGTTGCTATGAGTTGGAATCAACTCAATGACACTTAACAACAACATAATTATGTCAGACTTTCAGTGAGTTTTCAAATGACCTTCTTCTTGGTTTTCCCCAAACCTTTCAATATATTCTGTTGGCTCAAAGTCTTCTACAAAGGACCTTCCAATGACATTTCAATAATTTGACTCTTCTCTAAGAACTGCAGCCTCCCCCCCTGCCCCGCCCCCACTCTAACTCCTCAACAATCCCACACTTTCCTCTTCAATCCTCCATTGACTCTTGTTGGCCTGAGACTTCCCTTTAGGATATTCTTTTGACCCTAGACTTTTTTCCTAACCTCCTAAATGACCCCCATAACCCTATGACTGCACAATCACCTCAGGTCTCTCTAGGGCTTTCCATTGACCTCAGGATTGCTCCCTTACCTCCAGTGACTACAGGCACCCCTAAAACCTCCCCTTCTCCCCATTGACACCTGTTCCTCTCCTAGGGTGAGGTTCCTCCTTGGTGGCCGCCACGGTGAATTCAAGTTCCTCCCCCCACCTGGCTACGCCCCCTGCCATGAGGCTGTGCTCCCACGAGAACGACTCCATCTTGAACCTATTAAAGAGTATCGGCGGGAGGGACCTCGAGGTCCCCACCTGGTAGGCCCCAGCCGCTGTCTCTCACACACCGACTTTGTGCCTTGTCCCGTGGACACCGTCCAGGTAGGTACTGCCTGCCCTGTGCTAAGTTTCTTGATGAGGCAAGCTCTCTTAGGGCCCAGAGAGGTGGAGAGCTGAGATGAAAGTTGAGAACTTTGTTGTTTAGCAGATGGAGAAATTGAGACACAGAAGAGGGAAAGGACTCCCCAAGGTTTTGCATGCAGAATTGGAATTTCAGGAAATCCTTCCTCTAGCACCATAAAATAGAAACTATTACTGCCCTAATGTACACTTGAAGGAAGCAAGACTCAGAGAGGTTTTGTAGCTTGTGCAAGTCACACAGCAGTCTGATTTTAAAGCCCCTGATCTTACCCATCATGCTATGAATGTATCTCTTGGGTATGTCTTCTATTCCAGGCTTCTCACCCTCTCATAGGCCACTTTTTCTCCTAGCATGTCCCTATAAAAGGGAATCAAATCTAGTGCTTAAGATTCTGATGGTAGGGTTTTAATTTCAGCAATGTGACTCTGAGCACATGACATCACGTTTCTACCTCAGTTTCCTCATCTGTGAAAAGAGGATAATAGTAGAAGCTATTCCAGAAAAATCGTTGGAAGAGTAGTGGTGGTGGTTATGCACTGTGGAGTCGGAATTGACTCATAGGGACCCTGTACAGGGCTTCTGAGACTGTAAATCTTTACGGGAGCAGAAAGCCTCATCTTTCTCCCACGGAACAGCTGGTAGTAAGATGAATGAATACATGCAAAACACTAAACAGAGTTCAGAACAGATAGTAAGCATTTAATACGCTGCAACTATTATCTCAGGGTGACTGGGCTACTCCCCACCCCCAGGCCAGAGCCCTGGGCCATATTCTAGATACCTCCCTCCCCCATTCTCTGTCCACTTGACCTTTGGACATCCCTCCCAGGCCCTCTTCTTCCTACAGTCACCCTGGCCCAGGCCATCCTTTTAGCTTGCAGAACTCTTAACACATAAATATTAATCACTTATATTCATGATTTCATGGAATTCTAAGGAGGCAAGTCTTGAGTTAAGTATTGTTATGAGTCTCCTTATACAGAAAAAGGAAGGAACTCATTCAGCAAACATTTCCTGAGCATCTCCTCTGGGCCTCACCCTGAGCTGGGTGGGGCTACGGTCCTGGTGGAGACTGAGATAGTTCCAGGCCCCACCCTCATGGGGGATGCAGGCTCATCCCCAGATGATTCCTTAATTCCTATAATGCTAAGTCCGTGCTTAGCTGGGCAGAGTGACTGGGGCACAAGACTGGAATATTAGGAAGGGCCAAAGATGGTCTTGGGAGAACCTGTCTCCAGAGCTTGTCCATGTTCTTGGGAGAGGGATTACTGGGATAGGGTGGAGGGCTTTGGAGGATCTCATGAATGCTCTTCTGCCCCCAGATTGTCCTGCCTCCTCATCTGGAACGCATTCGAGAGAAGCTAGCAGAGAACATCCATGAGCTCTGGGCGCTGACCCGTATCGAGCAGGGTTGGACCTATGGCCCGGTGAGGGGCCGCCTGTAGCATGAGGGAGTTAAACTAGGCTCTGGGAAGCAGGGAGGGACAGGTGGCTGGGGGAGGAACTTTAGGGCACCAGAGGTTCCTTGGGTTGGGGTAGAGGTCCGGGTCACAGCCTGGGAGCGTTGGGGCAGGGGAACCCGAAGAGTTGACTTTGGGGTTTCTCCAGGTTCGGGATGACAATAAGAGGCTGCACCCCTGCCTTGTGGACTTCCACAGCCTCCCGGAACCCGAGAGGAACTACAACCTGCAGATGTCAGGAGAGACACTCAAGTGAGGAAACACCAGGAGAGCAGGAGGCGGGGCTTGGCTGCTGGGATGACAGGAGAGAGAGGCAGGGATTATGGGACAGAGAGAGAGAAATAAGGAGAGACTGGAAGAGCAACAAGGCAGAGTGGAAAGGGAGACAAAAAGACAGGAACAAGATGAGATGGTCAAAGAGATACAGAGACAAACGGGGAATGAGTCAGAGATCGAGACAGAGAGAGATGGAGACAAAGGTACCCAGAAATCCAGGGCACAAGACATAGGGAGAGCTAGAGACTCAGAGACAGGGATGATGATGGGTGTGGGGAGGAGGGGAACCCAGGAGGGGGAGGAAGAGTCAGGGTGTGGAGAGGGTCTTGTAGATGTGACCTCCCTGCTTCTCCTGCCCCAGGACCCTGCTGGCACTGGGCTGCCATGTGGGCATGGCAGACGAGAAGGCAGAGGACAACCTGAAGAAGACCAAGCTCCCCAAGACGTGAGTGTGGAATATGAGGAATAGTTGGGGGCTAGAGATGCTGTGATGAAGGTGGAGAAGGTCGAAGGGTCTTGTGAGGAGGCTGAAGTCAGAGGTTAGGGTGATGGTAGCAGGGTCAGGACTTTGGGGTCAGAGGTGAGTGTCTTAGGGTGTCATCGAGATTGAAGAATTAAAAGAGTCCAGAGAGAGTGGGGGTGAGTCTGAGATTCAGAGTCATGGTCAGACATGGCACCATAGAAAAGGGAAAGTGAGGTCTTGGCTCTCAGTTAGAGGCAAGGGGGTCAATGGTAAGAGGTAAAGATTTAGAGGATCTGAAATTGTAAGTAAGGGGTTCTAAAATTGTAGGTGAGAGATCAGAGGTTCTGGGGAGAAAGATCAAGGACTCCAGAGCCAGAATTTGAGGTAATAGAGTCCTGACGATAGAGTTAGAGGTGAAACCTCAGAGTTCCAAGGTCAAAGATAACTCATCAAGTGGATTCCAACTCTAGTGACCCTTTATAGGGTTTCTGAGGCTATAAAGCCTCATCTTTCTCCCACGAAGCGACTGGTGGATTTGAACTTCTGACCTTCAGGTTAGCAGTCCAATGCTTATCCTACAGCGCCACTGGGGCTCCTTATGTTAAAGCTGTTCTTGTTGTTAAGTGCTGTTGAGTCGGTTCTGACCCCTAGCGACCCCGTATAGGGTTTCTGAGGAGTAGCTGTTGAGTTTGAACCACCAACCTTGTAGTTCAACCTGACTTTGCAGTCTGGCGCATTAACCCACAGCACCACACTAGGACTTCTCGGTCAAAGATAAGGCCCTCAAAATCAAGACTAAGGGGTTACAGTGACCAGAGGTCAGTAATATCCCAACCCTTGCGAGGGTCACAGGGCCCTGGTCAGAGGTCAGAGATTTTGAATGTTAAAGTTAAAGGTCACAGGATCCTGGAGTTAGAGGTTAGGCATTTGAAAGCTTGTTTCAGAGTCATTGAACTATGCTATCAGAGACCAGAGATCAGAAATTCCAGAGCTTCAGAGTAAGGGTCATAGGACAGTGGGGTGGATTCGATACCACGTGGGATGTGAGGACAGAGAAGTAGAGGTGTGATTTCACCAAGCCCCCTCACACCCGCAGATATATGATGAGCAATGGGTACAAGCCGGCTCCTCTAGACCTCAGCCACGTGCGACTGACGCCAGCACAGACGACGCTGGTGGATCGCCTGGCAGAAAATGGGCACAATGTGTGGGCACGAGACCGCGTGGCCCAGGGCTGGAGCTACAGCTCTGTGCAGGACATCCCTGCGCGCCGAAACCCTCGCCTCGTGCCCTACCGCCTGCTGGATGAGGCCACCAAGCGCAGCAACCGGGACAGCCTCTGCCAGGCCGTGCGCACCCTGTTGGGCTATGGCTACAACATCGAGCCGCCTGACCAAGAACCCAGTGAGCACTGACCCCCGACCCCTGACCCCAGCTCTGACCTGACCCCTGACCCTACTCAGCCCTTCACTGGGCTATGGCTACAGCATTGAGTCGTCTGATTGGGAACCCAGTGAACACTCACTGCCTGACCCAGACCCTTGACCCCAACCCTGACCTGACCCTTGACCCTATTCAGTTCCTGACTGGGCTCTGGCTGCACCATTGAGTCACCTGACCTCTGACTCAGTTTGTTTCTCTGACCTTGATTGTGACTCCTAACACCCTCTTTGAGCTACTCTAAAATCATCCAACAGACTAACCAGGAAAACTCGACAAACACTAACCCCCACCCAACTCTGGCCCTTACCTTGACCCTGACCCACCTGGACTTGCAGCTGCAATATCACTTAGGAGCTCAGTGGACCCGCAACTTCAACTCTTTACCCCTACCTTTGCCCCTGACCACTAATCTCTGACTGAGCTACAGCTACAACCTGGAATGACACAACCAGCATCTAACCTCCAACCTCCAACCTGATCCCTGACCTGACTGGAACCAGAACCCCCAACCCTACCTAACTTCAGGTCCTAACTCTGAGTCTGGTCCCCAGCCTTCAATCCCTTCAATTCCTCAACTACAAATTCTCTTTTTCTGCTCTGACCCTGGCCCTTGCCTCCCAATTTTGCTCTCAACCTTTGATTCCAAACATCAACCTAACCTTGACCTTTAACCTCAGACCCTGGGACCAGATCACTGCCCCAATTTCTCCCTGTATCGCTGTCCTCTGAGAACACTGACTGCTCCCACTTACTAGGTACCCCAACCTTTCTCAGGCTGTGATTCCCCAATTCTTCATCACTAATACGAAAAATGTGCCCCTCTACCCAGGCTGCCAAGAACCTTCTTTCTCTGGTCCCTCCCACCAACCTTTTGATGTCTTGGGATCCCACCCCCGACCCAGCCTTTCTGATTCTGCCTGGTCCCAATTGTAGGTCAAGTGGAGAGACAGTCTCGTTGGGATCGAGTGCGCATCTTCCGGGCAGAGAGATCCTACACAGTGCAGAGTGGCCGCTGGTACTTCGAGTTCGAGGCGGTCACCACAGGCGAGATGCGAGTGGGCTGGGCCAGGCCCGAGCTGCGGCCTGACATAGAGCTGGGCGCTGATGAGCTGGCCTACGTCTTCAATGGTCACCGCGTGGGTACCACCCAGGGCTCCACTCTGCCAGCCCCCTAGGTCCCTCCCACAGCTCATACATTCCAGCCCTGATGTAGCCCCCCATTTTGTATCTACTTTACCATTTATTTACTTTTTGGAAGTACGGGCATGATTTGTTGTTGTTGAGAATATATACCAATTCAACAATTTCTACATGTACAATTTAGTGATGTGGATGACGTTCTTCAAGGCATGCAACCATTTTCACCCTCCTTTTACAAAGTATTCCTCCTCCATTAACATCATCTTTTTTTTATTTTTTATTGTGGATTGAGTGATAGTTTACATGGGAGAACATTGGTTCTACACTCATCGTTTCATTGCAATGATTACAGTCTCCTTCATCCATCATTATTCAACAGTATTTGCTTCTATTCCCTTTTTTTTTTTTTTTTTTTTTTTGATATACACAAAAACACTCAGGAATATATAATCATTTAAAAAACCAAAGGTTACATTCTGCAAGCCTGCCTCCTGGCCACCAGCTGCTCATTTCTCCTTGTCTTCATCTCTGGTGTTCTGCTTCTCTGGTTAGGGTCCCGTGTTCTGTTTGTGCTCTTCTCCTTGATGATCTTAGGGTCCTCTGTTCCTGGACTGTAAGATTAACTACTCCCCCCATTTTGTTACAAAACTTCTACCCTTACAGTTGTAACAGGTCGCAATTAGTCATGATAACAATTACTCACTATTAAATCATAAGAATCTTATCCCCATCTCCTTTCACTAGACCCATCTAGACAAGATGAAAACTATTCAGTGGGTATTCTACCTTCCCCCGCACACTCTGAAACTAAACTCCCTCTTATTTCTAATTTTATTTATTGATTCATACATATGCCTAGTAATGTAATGCATGTGTCCACCAATTCATTAATTTATCTACCCATCCATGCATCTATTTGTTTATTACACTTCCTCCTTTCCCTGAATCTACGTCTGTTCCTGTCTTTTCACCTGTCTCTCTCCCTCTGCATCTATATGTCTCTGTGTCACTGTGTCTCCCTGGGGCCTCCTCACAGGGCCAGCGCTGGCACTTGGGCAGTGAGCCGTTTGGGCGTCCCTGGCAGTCTGGCGATGTCGTTGGCTGCATGATCGACCTCTCAGAGAACAACATTATCTTCACCCTCAATGGAGAGATCCTCATGTCCGATTCAGGCTCTGAAACAGCCTTCCGGGATATCGAGATTGGGGATGGTGAGGGCTGGCCTGGTGATGCTGAGACCCCTTCCTGTACCCTTCCTGATTTCCCCCCATCTCACCTGACCCTACACCGACCCTCTCCAGCCTCCACGTCTCCAGTTTTTCCTCCCACAGTGCCTCCTTCTCACAGCCGCCCTGCCTACCCATCTTCCTTCATCCCTACCCATCTGTCCCTTCCCACCAGGCTTCCTGCCTGTCTGCAGCTTAGGACCTGGCCAGGTGGGGCACCTGAACCTGGGACAGGATGTGAGCTCCCTGCGGTTCTTTGCCATCTGCGGCCTCCAGGAAGGCTTTGAGCCCTTCGCCATCAACATGCAGCGTCCGGTCACTACCTGGTTCAGCAAAAGCCTCCCCCAGTTTGAGGCTGTGCCACTTGAGCACCCCCACTATGAGGTAAGAATTACCCACACACACACACTCAATACCGTCTGGTCTCCCTCCAAATCTCAGTTCTCGTCCCACAATTTTGAGTTTTCCTTTGTTTCCAAGTGAACACACAAACTATGTGTGCACAAGCCAGGACAATGGGCTCTGAGTTGGAGTCCTGTGGTGGTCTTGTGGGATAAGCACTGGATCACAACGTCTGTTTGAACCACAGGGTCAGTGGGTCAGACTCACTACCCCTCCTCGGAAACCCTTTAGAGGGTCGCCATGGGTTGGAACCGACTTGAAGGCACTTAACTATAACAATAGCAACAAAAGAATATATTGGAGACCTGAAACACCGCTGTAGGATGGGCATTGAACTGTTAATTACAGGTTGGCTGATTCAAACCCACCAGCCGCTCCTCAAGGAGTCAGAACTGATACTTATGATACGTATGATACTTAACAACAACAACAACAAAGAACATAAGAGGGTGAATCAAAAAGTATCCGCGCTCTGGTTGTAGAATTTATTTTAGTCAACTTTTAGAAAGACAAATACATCATTTTTTGACATAATCTCCTTGCTTTTCAATACTCTATGTCCATCTGTCAACAAGCTTTTTATATTCTCTTATTTTAAAAAATGTTTTCGATTCGGCAGCAAATCACAAATACACTGCTCTCTTCATTTCTTCATCAGAGGTGACTCTTCATCCTCGAAGGGCTGCTTTCAGGGAATCAAACAGATGGTAGTCCGATGGAGCAAGATCAGTACCATAGGGAGGATGCTTTAACACCTCAAAACGAAATTTTTAAAGTAGTCTGGGCAGAAGTGTGCAGACGTGCATTTTCATGCAACATCACAGAGCTCTTGAATAGCAGTCCTCTGCGTTTAATCCAAAGTTTAGGCTTCAACTCTTCAGTGAGCGTCTCACTGTAACAAGCACTGTAGATTATTGAACTTTTTTCCTTAATAGTGTTCCAGTACTGGCCCTTGAGAATCCCAGAAAACTGTAAGCATCAGTTTCCCAGTGGATGGCTAACTTTTTTTTTTTTTTCTTTTAAAAAAGCTCTTATTGTGAATTGAGTGATAGTTTACATGGGAGAACATTGGCTTTGCACTCAACCTATTGTATTTTGTTTCATTGCAATGATTACAATCCTTTTCTTGCATCATCAGTTAACAGTATTTGCTTCTATTCCCTCTGTTTTTTTGTATTGCTTTGCTTTTTTGTTGTACACAAAAACACGCAAGAATATATAATTATTTAAACAACCAAAGGGCACATTCTGCAAGCCTGCCTCCTGTCTGTCAGCACACAGCCTTTCTCTTTCCATGAATCTCAAGTCCTTAGCTGTTCCATCTCTCCATGGCCTCATCTCTGCCTTCCTCTCTGGTGTTGCTGTTTCTCTGGTTAGGGTCCCATGTTTCCTTCGTGCTCTTCCCTCCTGATGGTCCTAGGTTTCTGTGTTTGTGGAATGTAAGATTATTTCTTCCTTTTTGTTATACAACTTCTACCTTTATAGTTGTGACCCTCACAGTTAATCATGACAACAATTACTGACTATTGAATCAAATGAATCTTCTCTCCATCTGCCCTCATCCCCTTCACCAGACCCATCTAGACCAGATGAAAACTATTCAGTGAGGATTCTACCTTCCCTTGAATACTCTGAAACTAAACTACTCTTGAAAATTTGTAGGCCAGCCACTTCATGCCTTTATAGCCCTCCTCACCCTCATTTCTGGTAGCCAATGTCTAAGTTGCTCATCCCTATCAACCCTGTGTACAGAGGGTATAGGTTTGATCCTTGATGTGAAGACTTCTTCCCTCTCAGTTGGTATTTTGAGCTACTACATCCGTAAGTATAGGTCAAGTTCATTGATAGTTGACTTTTGAACTCTTTCTTGGTTGGTGATTGAGGATGTTGCCATTCCATACTCTGCCGTTTACTCTCAGGCTCGTAGTGATGAATCCATGTCTCGTCACCAGGAATGATTTTTTTAAAACAAATTTTACCTTCCTTCGAGTCCACATTTTGTTTGCAGATGTCCAAATATTTGTTTGTGCTCTTCCAAGAATTGTTTCAATAACCAAGTCTGTCATGGATTATTTCATAGGCAGAGCCATAACTGATTTGCAAATGATTTGTCACATAATCCACTACCACTTGTCTATTCCACAAAATCATTTTAAGTGCAAGCTTGGTGTTTTTATCAGCCATGGATGTGGACGGGTGTTTTAATATAACCAGAGTGCAGATAATTTTTGACTCACCCGTGTGTGTATGTGTGTACTTTTCCCCCTAAGTTATTTGAGAGTGAGTTGGAGACATGCCTCTTTACCTTAAATACTTCAAAGTGTATTTCTTTAGGACAAGAGCATGCATTTACAGAACCACAGTAGAGTTAGGAAAACTAGCACATTAGTACCTAGTTCACAGTCCATATGCAAATGTTATCAATTGTGATAGTAACGTCTTTCCCTGCATCTTTGTCCAAGGTCCAGTTCAGAATTATGTAGTCCATTTAGTTGTCATGTCTCTTTAAAACCAAAGCCAAATCTCCTGTCATCAGTTCTGATTCATAGTAATGCTGCAGGACACAGCAGAATCAGCCCATAGGGTTTCCAAGACTATAAATCTTTGTGGGAACAGACAGCCTCATCTTTCTCCCACGGGGTGGCTGGTGGGTTGGAACCACCAACCTTGCAGTTAGGAGACCAACACTTAACATACTGTGCCAATAGGGACCCTCGTTGTCTCTTTAGTCTCCTTTAATCTAGAATGTTCTTGAGTTACGTCCTTGATGTTTTTGAAGAGGATAGACCGGTTATTTTGTAGCATGTCCTTCAATTTGGGTTTGTCTGAGGTTTCCTCATGAGGCATATTGGTCAGGAATGTCACAGAAGTGATGTTGTGTCCTTGTGGTACATGTTATTAGGAGGTACAAGACATTGGTGTGTCTCCTTAATTTTCACTGTGTGGCTAAGGTGCGTTCTAACAGGTTTCTTTATTATAAAGTTGCTGTTTTTCTCTCTGTAATTAGTAAGTTATTTAGGGAGAAGTATTTTAAGACTGGACTCCTGGTGTGGTACTGTAGGATCAACACTGGTCTTCGATTCACAAGGTTGGCAGTTCAAACCCACCAGTTGCTCCTCAGAAACAATATACAGGGTTGCTATATGTCGAAACCAACTTGACAGTACTTAACAACAATTTTAAGACTGGTGTGACACTGTAGGATAAGGACTGGACTGCTAACCACAATGGTTCAAACCCACCTAACTGTTCCTCAGAAACCCTACACAGGGTTGCTGTGAGTCAGAACCAACTCGATGACATTTAACAACAACAACATCTTAAGATTATGTAAAAATAGAAGGGTTTTGAGCAGGGAATGTCCAGGGTAGACTTGAGCTTTTGAAAGGTCCCTTTTGGTGGTGGGTTGAAGGAGGAACAAGTAGAAGCAGGAAGACCAGTGTTGTCTGGGGTCAGGTCCCAGGTGAGAGGTGATGAACGACTATACCTGGGCACTGCTTAGCTGGTGTTCTCAGCCCCAATTGCTCATTAGAACACGTAAACTAAAAGACACCATCAACAAATCCATAGACATCATGTTGAAGGGAGGAAGCCAGGCACATCAGATCTCCTATTGTAGGATTCCATTCCTAGCAAGCTCAAGAACAGGCAAAGCTAATGTTGGGATCCCTGTGATGCTCCAGGGTGTTCACTGAGCAAGAATAGCTCAGAGACATTTAGTTACAAATCACATGAGGGGAATTGTGGCACAAATGGTTTGTGCTCACCTGCTAACCTATAGGTTGGTGGTTCGAACCCACCCAGAGGTACTCGGGAAGAAAAAGTCTGATGATCTTTTCTTCCTAAAGATTTTTTTTTTTTTTTTTAAGTGCTGTGAGTAGGTTCCAACTCATAATGACCCTGTATAGGGTTTCTGAGGAGCAGCTGGTGAGCTTGAAAGATTACAGCCAAGAAAACCCGATGGGGCAGTTCTACGCTGTAATACGAGGAACTTCATGGGAAACAGAATTGAAAAAATTTGTGGGAAATAGCAACGAAAAGATTCATGGAATTTTTCCCATGAACGTTTCAAAGCCCTGTGGTACACCGGGGTTGTCGTGAATTGGAACGAACTTGCAGCAATTCACAGCAGCCTAATAGAAAACACACTTTGCTGTCTGGAAACAGAGACTTGTTTGCAAATTTTCAGGTCAATTCATTGGCTGGTGAGGGACACAGAGGTCAGTCTTAGGACTTAGTCCTTGAAGAGGCCAGCTTGAGGAGGACATCACAGAAGCCATTTCAGTTTGTAACATTTCCAGAAAACTTTGGTGGAGTGCTCAGGATAGCTCATCAGCTGATGTCTCTCTATCAGCTCATGCCCCCTATTTGGGCCAAGCTGGTATGTTCTTCATCAGAACGCCTTCTCCTTCTTAACACGGCAGAGGCTAGTTCTGCTTTTTCATCTGGTGCTGGCTACTGTGACGTCACTGGGGGTGGGTACAGGAAGCAGACTGTACCAGGTAACACCGTCAGAGGGGAGGACACCAAAAAGACTGCCCATACAATTTTTGTGCAGTGTTTTAGCAGAAAACGTTTTAGTTTTTAGAAAATATCTCTGTAGTTATATATAACACTAAAAACATTTTATGTAAGCCCAGCTTGCATGTAGCAACAGACCTATTGTTACTGTTGTTGTTAAGCACTCTTGAGTCAGTTCCAACTCATAGTGACTCTGTTTAGGGTTCCCAAGAAGCAGATGGTGAGTTTGAACCGCTGACCTTGTGGTTCAAACCAACCTTGTGGTCCAGTGTTCTGTGCCACTATGCTAATTTACTTACTTTTTGAGCCTTCTAATACTCTAATTGGATTCCTGGTATGGCACTGTGGGTTAATGTGCTGGACTGTAAGGTTGGTTTCAAACACAAGGACATTGGTTCAGGCTCACCAGCTGCTCCTTGGAAACCCTATACAGGGTCGCTGTGAGTCGGAACCACCTTGACAGCACTTAATAACAGTGTTCTAATGGAGTCCTAGTGTGGCTCTGTGGGATAATGCACTGGGCTGCAAGGTCGATTTGAACCATAAAGTCAGCGGTTCAAATTCACCATCTGCTCCTTGGAAACCCTAAGCAGGGGTGACTATGAGTTAGAACTGACTCCATGGCACTTAACAACAACTATGTTCTAATGTTCTAAGGGAGCGTGGTGGCTCTGAACCATAAGCACTGGACTGCGAATTACAAGGTCCACGGTTTGAGCCTGCCAGCTGCTCTGCGGGAGAAAGATGAGGCTTTCTGCTCCTTTGAAGATTTAAACCCTCTCCAGGGTCGCTATGAGTTGGAACCAACTCGACAGCCCTTAACAACAATAACAACAATGTGCTTTGGTCAGAACTGTCATCATTTACCCAGTTGCATTGATGCTTCGAACCATGTGGTTTCCTTAGCAGGTCTAGAAGCACACCTTGTTTTTATAGTGGCTGGTTTTGTCAAGTTTTCTCGTGTTTTAGCTACAATATTGTGGAAATATTTGTGAACCTATATCCATAATTGAGACTGTAGTAGTAATTAAAGGGAAACAGGAGAAAAATCAAAATAAGTTTTCGCTTAGTTACTAACAAATAATATTTAATTCAGTTTAGAAAGATTTCACGAAACACTTTTGTTAGTGTTCATATAATCTAAGAAATAAGACATTTAAGCGATTTAAAACTATATTGATCACGTCTTCTTGTTGTTACATTGTTAAGTGCCATCGGATCGGTTCCCACAAATAGTGACCCTCGATAGAGTTTTCGAAGAGCGACTATTGAGTTTGAACCACCAGCTTTGCAGTTCAAACGGACCTTGCAGTCCAGTGCTCCTCCTACAATGCTGTTCGGGACTCCATATTGATCACATCTTACTGTATGATTAAAATTAGCACCCTGCACTACTAAGGATTCTATATCATCTGTGACAGGAGGGAGTCCGTGTGGGACGGGGTGACACCAACCCAGTGATGCCATTGGCTGGTTGTACAGGTGTATCCATGCTGTGCATTGTGATGTGTACACTTTCTGGAGTGGTATATTTTCACAAACACAAGGTTAGCAAAATTCACCTGGAAAGACTTTATAAATCTCTGGCTCTTCTGAGCAGCCCTTGCCTAGAGATTCTGGGAATGTCAGCACCAGGGGAGCATATAGAACAGTGCCTGGTACCCAGTAGGGGCTCAGTAAATATTTGTTGACTAAATGTATTTATTTCCAATTATTTTTTTAAATAAAATACTTTATTGTGTTTCCAGTAAAGGTTTCCACAGAAGTTTTAGTCTCCATTCGACAATTTCTACACAAGTTGTTCAGTGACATTGGTTACGTTTTTTACAATGTACGAACATTTTCATGATTTCTGTTCTGGGTTCCATGAACAGTTTCCCTGTCCCCTTATCTTCTTATCTTCATTTTGAAAGTAATTGTTGGCTCTTGGTCTTATACAGGTGATTTTCGAAAAGGAGCACAGAACTCATATTGTTGTCATTAAATATCTTCGCGGTTCTGACTCATAACAACCCCGCATAGGGTTTGAGAAGTGACTGGTGATTTTGAACCGCCAATCTTGTGATTAACAGTCCAATACTTATCCTACAGCGCCACACCACGACTCCACAGTTCTCATGGGTGCACTTTTAATTTTTTTGAGCACATTTGTTATCCACAGGTACGGTTTGAAGCTCCTCACGTGATTCCAGTGTGTGACGGGGGCTTCCACTAAGACGCTCAGACGGAGGATGAGAGAGGACCAAAGCCCACATGTTCCACCCAGGGAGGGGTTAAGGTGGAATGGTGGCTCTGAGTGTAAGCAGGCTTCTCCCCACAGGTGTCCCGTGTGGATGGCACTGTGGACACGCCCCCCTGCCTGCGCCTGACCCACCGCACATGGGGCTCCCAGAACAGTCTCGTGGAGATGCTCTTTCTCCGGATGAGCCTTCCGGTCCAATTCTACCAGCACTTTCGCTGCACAGCAGGGGCCACCCCCTTGGCTCCCCCAGGCCTGCAGCCCCCTGCTGAGGATGAGGCCCGGGCTGCAGAACCCGACCCTGACTACGAAAACCTGCGTCGCTCTGCTGGGCGCTGGGGTGAGGCGGAAGGGGGCAAAGAGGCAACTGCCAAGGAGGGGGCACCCGGGGGCACCCCCCAGGCTGGGGTAGAGGCCCAGCCCACCAAGTTGGAGAATGAGAAGGATGCAACCACAGAGAAGAACAAGAAGAGAGGGTGAGTTTGAGGGTGAGGCGAGGCTTTGAGATCTCAGATCTGCCTTAGAACTCCCAAATAGGCACCCTCAATCATTTGAGAAGTCCCGTTGTACCCCAAAGTGTTTCCATATATGGGAAATGTCTGAATATCGAAGGATCCAATCATACCTCGAGTTAACTTCTTTATTGCCTCAAGATGTTCTGATTTCCATGAGAATATAGAAACTGCGTTAATGTGCTGGACTGCAAGGTCGATTTGAACTGCAAGGTTGGTGGTTCAATTTCACCAGCCGCTCTCAGAAACTATGAGTCAAAACCGACTCCATGGCACACCACCACTCCATCTATGGAGAACTCCACTCTTTTGGGGATCTTTGTTGGGCCTCTGGGACACCAATAGGTACTTCAGTATCTTGGGGGGGGCTGACGGCACCCCCAGGCATCCCAGTGAAACCAAGTAGTCTAAATTGGGGCCCTTTCTATATCTCAAAGGACCCACATGTACATCCAAAAAATTAACTTTAAGAAAGAACCGGCGTCCAGGGTTGCGGAGTATACCCTTTGGTTGTTTTAATGGTTATATATTATGTATTCCTGAGTGCTTGGATGTACATCCAAAAAAAAAACCAGGGGGATAAAAGAAAGAAATGACCTGCCCTGAAAAGGATGGAGCTGAGTCCACTTTCCCCTTACCATGGCAATGGTTTTCAGCGGGATGCAATTGTGCCCTTGGAGGGGTTTGGAAATGATGGCACATTCCTGGTTATCACAGTTTTAGGGGTCGCTGATCTGAGGAGGGATCCAGGGTTCCTATATGCCTTGTATTGTACAAGACAATCATTCTTTCCAAAAAAGCCTTTAGCACCCATATGAGGAACACTGACTTAGGGGAACCACTCTATGCCCCATATGCCCAGAAAGCACCTTTAAATTTCGGTGATTTCCGCAACCACAGGCACCAAGTGCAGCCCCCAGACTGCCATGGAGCCAGTCCTCACTCAGACACAATGAACCAGCTTGGGGTAATTCACGGAATCCTGCCCTCCAGGGGCGAAGCTTTGGGTCTTAGAAGCAGAGCGTAGCTTGGATGGGTGTGGGGGCAAGAATGTTTAGGTGGGGAGGACTGGGGAGCTAGACTAAAGAGCTGGTTCTCACAGTAGCATTTGCTCCCCGTCTAGGTTCTTATTCAAGGCCAAGAAGGCTGCCATGATGACCCAGCCGCCAGCCACTCCCACTCTGCCCCGACTCCCTCGTGAGGTGGTACCTGCTGACAACCGCGATGACCCTGACATCATCCTTAACACCACCACGGTATGAACTGGGAACCCTTGCCTTTGGGACCCCTAAACATAGTATGTTGTTGTTATTAAGTGTCATCGTGTTGGTCCCAATTTATAGCCATCCTGTACAGGATTTCCAAGGAGTGGCTGGTAGGGTTGAAACGTCGACCTTGTGGTTAGCTGTGTAGTGCTTATCCTATATCGTCACACCTGGACGCATAGCCTGGGAACTCCCCAAATTTCCACATTTAGTGTTGCAGTCCCAACTAACTACCCCTCTCTGGGGACACACAATATTCCCCAAAACCAAATCCATCGCTTTAGGTCCATTCCGACTCACAGCAACTCTATAGGACAGAGTAGAACTGCTCCCTCTATGGAGTCTTGGTGTGGCGCTGCACAGATGACAAAGTCTGTCAGTGGTTTAAATTCACCAGCCACTCCTTGGAAACCCTATACAGGATCCCTATGAGTCAGAACAGACTCAATGGCACGTAACAACAACAACAAATCTTTACAGAAGCAGACAGCTTCATTTTTCTGTCACAGAGCAACTGGTGGGTTTGAACCACTGACCTGTTGATTAGCAGCCCAAGAGACCCACAAACTGCACACCGATTTAATCCTTTGAACTCCTAAATCCATATAGCTGTGTGCCTAAAGACGTCAGGAACACAATGAAGCTATAAGTATATTGGTATAACTCACAGGGGTCTCTAAATCTAGGAGGTATAGACTAGGGACCCTAACATTTGAGTTCACCTATATGACCCTGACATGGAGCTCTGGTAGCGTAGTGGTTATGAATCGGGCTGCGAAACACAAGGTTAACAGTTCAAAGCTACCAGCTGTTCCATGAAAGAAAGACGAGGCTTTCTGCTCCTGTAAAGATTTACAGCCTCGGAAACCCTGTACAGGGTCAATATGAGTCAGAACCAACTCCATGGCACATAACAACAACAACACCATATGACCCTGACACCTCCAGGTACTGTAAGATAAGTGTTGGACTGCTAACCACAAGGTCAGTAGCTGAAACCCACCAGTCACTCCTTGGAAACACTATACAGGGTTGCTATGGGTCAGAACAGACTCAATAGCACATAACAACAGCAAGTAATATATTCCTGGTTATCATGAGTATCCTAGTTTAATTTTGTTGTTGTTGTTAAGTGCCGTCGAGTCGATTCCGACCCATAGCAACCCTGTATAGGGTTTCCAAGCAGCAGCTGGTGAGCTTGAATTGCCGATGTTACAGTTCAAACGGCTTTACAGTCTGGTGCATCAACACACAGTGCCACACCAGAACTCCCTAGTTTAGTTTGTTGTTGTTGTTGTTGTTATGTGCCATCGAGTCGGTTCCGACCCATAGCGACCCTGTATAGGGTTTCCGAGGGTGTAAATCTTTACGGGAGTAGAAAGCCTCATCTTTCTCCCGCGGAGCAGCTGGTAGTTTCGAACTGCTGACCTTAAGGTTCGCAGCCTGATTCGTAACCACTACGCTACCAGAGCTCCTTTTTTAGTTTAGGATTCCTTAAATATAAACTAGGAGAGGCTTCAAAAAGTTCATGGAAAAATTCCATCATTTCTTAATTCCATTTTTCCACAAACTTTTTGAAGCCCCTTGTATGTTATGAGCCAGCTTAGTAGAACAGATCATGAACTGTTCCGGTGCCTCTTGGATAAGTCATTTGACTGCTCTATGCCTCAGTCTCCCCCTCAGTAAGGTGGTGATGAAAATCGTACTCGCCTGATATGGTGGCTGTATGAAATGAGTTAATCCATGTTGAGACCTTAGAACAGTGGTATGCAAGTGTTAGCTATTCTTTATTTGCACTGTAGGATCAGCACTAGACTATGGACTACAAGGTTCAAGCCCACCAGCTGCTCCTTAGAAATATTGTACAGGGTCACTGTGAGCCAGAATTGACTTGATGGCACTTAACAACAACAACATTCTTTATTACTTTGCTATAACCAGAGATGGACCTTAAATTTCAGTGTCTCACAAAATAATCCCAAGGGATTCCTGAATCTAACAATACATCAGTAGACACAGAAACAGAGATATAGGCCCATGAAACCAAGCCAAATCCATTTGGCCACTGAGTCAGTTCTGACACATCGTAGCCCTATAAGCCCAGATCCACTACTATTGAGTTGATTCTGATTCTTGGCGACCCTGTATAGAGTTTCCAAGCCTGTAAATCTTTATGGGAGCAGAAGACCTCATCTTTCTTCTGCAGAGCAGTTGGTGGGTTTGAACTCCTGACCTTGAGGTTAGTAGTCCAGTGTTTATACTATAGTGTCACCAGAGCCCTTATGTAGTTACCCTATGTTGTTGTTAAGTGCCGTCAAGTCGGTTCCGACCCATAGCAACCCTGTATAGGGTTTCTGAGGAATAGCTGGTAAGCTTGAACTGCCGACTTTGCTGTTCAAACTGACTTTGCAGTCCAGCACATTACCACATAGTGCCACACCAGGACTCCATACTGACCGTGGTGTTGTTCTGTGCCATGGAGTTGGTTCTGACTCATAGTGAGCCTGTATAGGGTTTTTGAGGCTGTAAATCTTTACGGGAGCAGAAAGCCTCATCTTTCTCCCGCGGAGCAGCTGCTAGTTTCAAACTGCCAACCTTGAGGTTAGCAGCCCAATTCATAACCTGAGTAAATCTGCTCCTTAAGGTTTCTGAGATTGTAATTCTTTACAGGAGCAGACAGTTTCATCATTCTCCCATGGGGCAGATGGTGGATTTGAACCACAAATCTTGTGGTTAGCAGTCAAGTGCTTAACCCATGACACCACCAGAACACCTGAGACATGGGCCCAGTCCTGCATCCATTAACTTCTTGTTAAGTTCTCAGAAAACCCTGAGAATCCAGGAAATCCCTCTTACCGACCCAGAGAACCCCAGAATCTCCATTCTTCCCACACTAACCACTAGTTCCCCTTTGCTTCCCAGTACTATTACTCCGTGAGAGTCTTTGCTGGTCAAGAGCCCAGCTGCGTTTGGGTGGGCTGGGTCACCCCTGACTACCATCAGCATGACATGAACTTCGACCTCAGCAAGGTCCGGACAGTAACAGTGACCATGGGGGATGAACAAGGCAACGTGCACAGCAGGTATGGAGAGAGATGGGTGCTCTGGGTAGTGGGGGCTGCCTGGTGTGGGAGATGGCTTTCCGGATTCCCTCTGGAGTAAGGAAACCCTTCTCTTCCATTTCGTTTCCTCCAGTTGCGCCTGCTGTTTTTTCTCTTCTTTCTCATTTTCCTCTTCCATGTTCTCCTTTCTCATCTTGTCCTCCTCCTACATCACTTCCTACCTTTTCTCTCACCTCTTTCTCCCCTTCTTTCTCCTCCAATCCTTCACCAGCTTTTAAGAATTTGAACTCTTGAGTTGCTCAGGGTCTGGGCTACGAGGTCTCAGTGCTCAGTTCTGCATGTGGTGGGTGTTTGAGGAGGGACTCAAAGGTCACGGTCTTCTGGGAGTTCAGGAAAGGGGTTTCAGGACCAGAGCACCTCAGCTAAAGAGTCCTTGCTTTGACCGCTTCTATCTCCTCCAGCCTTAAGTGTAGCAACTGTTACATGGTGTGGGGCGGAGACTTTGTGAACCCTGGGCAACAGGGCCGGATCAGCCATACGGACCTCGTCATTGGCTGCCTGGTGGATTTGGCCACTGGTTTAATGACCTTTACGGCCAACGGCAAGGAGAGCAACACCTTCTTCCAGGTGAGTCCAACCCTCAGCAACTTGTCAGTAGCATCTCCCTCCCAGACACCCTTGAGGCCAGATCTGGAGAGACAGGACCAAAATAGATCCAAGTCCAGTCCTTAGGATCAGCAGAGCTGGGAGGTCCCTGGGAGAACACCTAGTTGAACCATCTATTATATAAAATGGGCAAACTGAGGTCCAGGAAGGAGGAGACAGAGTACAAACTTGAGTTGGAAGAGATCTGTATTCCCCTTGGGCTGGGTGACACAGTATTTTCACCAAAGAATACCTTAGTTTTTGGACCAGAATCCTAAAGGATTCAGCCTTTTCTTTTCAACATTCTATTGTGAACATTTTCAAGCAAATGGCAAAATTGAAGGATTTATACGGTGAATACCCTTATCCACACCAAAAAGAATCTATGATCAATCTTTGAATATACAGGACTTAGGTGGAGTCCTGGTATGACGCTGTAGGCTAATGCATCAGACTGCAGTCATTTGAATTGCAAGGTTGGTGGTTCAAGCTCACCAGCTTCTCCTTGGAAACTCTATACGGGGTCGCTATGGGTGGAATCCACTTGATGGCACTTAACAACAACAACAGATGTAACACTGTAGGATAAGCACTGGACTGCAAGATCTGTTTGAACTGCAAGGTTGGCAGTTTAAGCTCACCAGCCACTCCTTGGAAACCCTACATAGAACTTAACACACACACACACAAAAACAACCGCATATTTATCCACCCATAGCTCTGGTAGTGTAATGGTTACAAATGGGACTGCTAATCTCACGGCCAGCAGTTCAAAACTACCAGCTGTTCTGGAGGAGAAAGATGAGGTTTTCTGCTCCCATAAAGATTCACAGCCTCAGAAACCCTGTACAGGGTCGCTATGAGTCAGAACCAACTCCATGGCATACAACAAGTTCTTGTTAGGTGCCTCGAGTCTTTTTTGACTCCTAATGACCCCGTGTAGCAGAATAGAGAAGTCCTGAATCGGAGTTCTGGTGTGGCGGCGCTGTGGGTTAATGCACCAGTCTGCAAAGCTGTTTGGACTGCAAGGTTCAAGCTCACCAGCCACTCCTCGGAAACCCTTGCCATGGGCTGGAATCAACTCCATGGCACTTAACGACAACAACAATGACTCTATGTAGTAGAATAGAATCACCCCTTAGGGTTTTCTAGGCCTTAATCTTTGCAACTACCAGATCTTTCTCCCGTGGAGCCACTGGGTAAGTTTGAACTGCCAGCCTTTTAGTTGACAGTTAAGTGCTTAACCATTGTACCACCATGGCTCCTTTGAAATACAGTTCACCTACCTGGCCATTAATTTATCTAAGGTGGGTTTTACAATGGAAATTGTTTTAAATGGAAATTTTTTCATTATATGTGTTTTTTTAATGTTTTATTGTGAATTATGTGATCGTTTACATGGGAGAACATTAGCTTTACCTTCATCCTATCATATCGTTTCATTGCCATGGTTACAATCCCCTGCATGCATCATCAACCAACCAAAGGGTATACC